GCAGCTGTGTAGAAGCTGTTTCTCCCTTCTCAGCGCCATATTGTGGGAAAGCAGATGCATAGAATAAGTCTTAATTCGAGTAACTTAGTCTAGTCCGAGTTGCTCCCAGTTGCTCCCCACAACCTACTATGTGTTAAAGTGCTTAAATATCCCATTTAATCCACAAATCCAAGTAGGAACTTGATTTGCCCACCTTTAAAACAAAACAGAAAGATTGATTTATTTATTTGAAAGGTAGAGTTGGGGATCTTCCATCCACTGGCTCACTCCCCAAGTGGCTGCAATGATTGGAGCTGGGCCAGGCCAACCAGGAGCCTGGACCTCCATCTGGATCTCTCATGTAGGTGGCAGGGTTCCAAGTACTTGGGCTATCTTCCACTGCCCTCACAGGCACATTTGCAGGAAGCTGGATCAGAAGAGGAGCAATCATCCCAGATAGGTGGCAGGAATCTAAGTGCTTGGGCCATCATTTGCTGCCTTCCAGGATGCACCAGTGAGAAGTGGCCAGGAGACCGAGCCACCAGGACTCAAGGTGACACTTCGATATGGGATATAAGCATCCAAGCAGTGGCTTAACCCCCTGAGCCACAATACCTGCCCCCCATCTGTCTCTTATGAACACTAATCCAGAATAATTTTCCCTATTCAGGGTCAAGATTAGTAACTTCATGATAGCCACTCATTGTTTGTTGAATTATTTTCCAACAGTCAAATAAGAGGAAAGCTGGTAAAATGCTTAAATTGGGTATCTGACCTGAAGAGACACTGTACTGTAAATCTCCTGAGAATAATACATTCACAAAAGTATACTTAGGAGTGTTTCCACAACTGAACAATGGATCCATAAATCACTAGAAATAGTTTATTGTTACATTCATACAATATAAAAATAAAAATAATCTGTTCAAATAAAAAATAAAGGCAAAAAAGAAGAGGAGGAGGAGAAGTAGGAGAAACAGGAGAAGCAGCAGAAGAGGAGGAAGAGGAGGGGCAACTGGGGCTCAAACCTGGGCTCACATGGGATGCCAGTGTCTCAGTTGACAGCTTAACCCACTGCACCACAACACCAGCCCCTATCATTGTCTTGCAGAAGAGATAGAGGAAAGTAGCCAAGGTAAGAGTCCAAGTTCCTAAGCACTGTCTGCAAAGTGGGGCTGTACCTCTGGCCAGACTCAATGACTTTACAGCACTTAGTGCTCACTCTCAACAGTTTGCAAGACTATATAGCGTTTAGAGATCAGTGCCTTTTTTTTTTTTTTTTTTGCCCTCAGGCCTCTCAACACTTTTAATTACCAACCAAAGTAAGGAAGGCTCCCAAGCAATTAGTAAACACCCTGCAGGCAGCTTTGAAAAGCTACTTTTTTTTTTTTTTTTTGGACAGGCAGAGTTAGTAAGAGAGAGAGAGAAACAGAGAGAAAAGTCTTCCTTCCGTTAGTTCATCCTCCAATTGGCCGCTACGGCCAGCGCATTGCGCTGATCCGAAGCCAGAAGCCAGGTGCTTCCTCCTGGTCTCCCATGCGGGTGCAGGGCCCAAGGACCTGAGCCATCCTCCACTGTACTCCCGGGCCACAGCAGAGAGCTGGACTGGAAGAGAAGCAACTGGGACAGAATCCGGCGCCCCAACCGGGGTGCCAGCGCCACAGGCAGAGGATTAGCTTAGTGAGCCGCGGCGCAGGCCCGAAAAGCTACAATTTGACAGCCACCTGCCCAGGCCTGGCTTGAGGAACCAGCACTGCTTTCCGAAAAGAACAGAAGCGAGGATTTGGAGCATTCATGTTGTAGGACCTCTGCTGACCCAGAGCAGAAAATCTAGGATCCAAGCTTAAATGATGTTTAAAAGATAAGTTATCATTCCTCAAATGGCTTGACTTATTTATTCTGTGCTTTTAAAGCATTAATTTTGATTAGCCAAAGCTGCAGTTCCTAAAGCATATATAAATGTGGAATTACGTGGTATTTTCTAAAATATTTCAAATTATCTTACTAACTATAGCAAAGAATATATACTAAATTATAAAATGCTGATATAATTTCTATGTATCTTCTACTTGAAACCAAACTAAATCTGAAATATAAATCAGAATCTTGTTTTCAAAAGGTGAGAAGTTAAATTATGGTAAGATCAAACTTTTTTTTTACTCATCTTAAAAAGAAGCATTATACTCACATGTAAAGACCTCATTTTTTTTTTTTTAAGATTTATTTATTTATTTGAAAGGCAAAGGCAGAGAGAGAGAGAGAGTTCTTCCATCCACGGGTTTACTCCCCAAATAGCCTCAACAGCTAGAGCTGGGCAGCTCTGAAACCAGAAGCCAGGAGCCTCTTCCAGGTCTCCCACGTGGGTGCACGGGTCCAAGGACTTGGGGTATCTTCTACTGCTTTCCCAGACCATAGCAGAGAGCTAGATCAGAAGTGGAGCCGCCAGGACTCAAACCAGCACCCATATGGGTGGCTAGCATTACACGAAATGACTTTACCTGCTATGCCACAGTGCAAGCCCCCCCCCTCATTTTTTTTTAAGATTTTGTTTATTTATTTAAAAGGCAGAGTTACAGGGGTGGGGAAGGAGGAAGGGAGAGAGAGAGAGGTATTTTCCATCGCCTGGTTCACTCCTCAAATTGCCACAACATCTAGGACTGAGCCAGATCAAAGCTTCTAGGACCCCCCAACATGAGTACAGAGCCCAAGCACTTGGGCCATCTTCTACTACTTTCCCAGGCACCTTAGCAGGTACCTGGATCTAAAATGGAGCAGCCACAACTTGAACCAGCATCCATATGGGATGCCAGTATTGCAAAAGTGCCACAATGCTGCCCCTTCATTTGTTTGTAGCCTAGCACAGGCTACAACACTGAGAGCACCTAGTATCATGTCCTAAACTTAATTATAACAGAAATTGAGAAAAGTAGTTCTTGTGTATATACACATTAAAAATATGGCCAATCCACAAACATATATATAAACAGTGATCATTTTAATCGGGCAACTCTATATGGAAAATACCAACTGCTGGATTGTTGAGAATCTCCAGGAGGCCCTAACCACCTGCTGGATTTGAGGAACAACCAAAGTGGCTGCCTAGTCCTAATTCAAGGAAAACTATACCATAGTCTCCTTCCCACATCAGAGCAGGTCCCCTTAGCCCTGATTCCAGATCCTGGTCTCCTTTGGAATGTCCTTCCATGCCCTACAATGGCCCTGATATTAGGCCTGACTCCCATACGGCCTTTGACTATGCCACCCCACCCCACCCCAGTCTCTGGACACTGTCTCCAGCTTACCACTCACAATGTCTAACTCTGCAGATTCTAATCTACAGTGTTTCCTTCCCAACAAGACTCCAGGTTTCTCCCTGTGATTTTCCCAGAAGCCCCATTAAGACTTTTTGCATGTTGGTAAGCATCCTGGTCCAAACCCTGGTCCTCTACACCTGTTATTGCATCTAACAGCCCAAGAACATTGCCAGCTAGAACCACCCCCATAGTGTTCTGAGGAAGAACATGGATTTCAGAGCCTGACCACCTGTGATAACCACCGGTAAATTACTTAGCCTTCCTGTGCCTCCATGTCCTCATCTATAAAATGGAAACAATAACAGCAATCTTACCTTCTAGGGTTTTTGTGAGGGTTAAATGAAACATATGGAAAGCTTCTAAACAATGCTAACTGCTCTTACTAATAGTACATGGAACTTGGTTCAGAATTAAACAGGTCTCTATACAATGAGAAAATCTGGAAGACAGACTCACATTAAAAAGGGGTGTTACCAAGCTTTTAGTTCTTCTATGGAAAAATTAACAAAACAGCTAAGAGCCTGCCTCTACTTTTCACTTAACTCACTAATAATTAAAAAAAAATAATAACTTAGGAGTTGAGTCATGTTTAACTATATTTTTCTTATGTTATACTGAATAAGAATTTTCTAATCATTTTATATCCAGTCTAAATCCCCATAAATTTGATGAACAGCACATATCATACAAATCATACAGAGAGAAAAACTCAGCCACAGAGAGTGCTTGCTAGGGGTCTACTAATAAGGAAATGCAAAACTCAGACTGTAACTCTGAACTGGCTTTTGGAGTATTTTGGGAAATCAAACGTACATTATTTAAAAAAGAAAAAAAGTCTAATAATTCTTTCATTTTCTCCCAGGTGTGGATGTGGAGAGCTTGGACTTGGGGTCAGACATCAAAACCAGATCCCAGCTCTGCCACTTACATGCTATATGATCCTGAGCAAGTTAGTTAATTTTTCTGTGCCTCAGCTCCCTCATCATTAAAAACAGGATCAGGCTGATAATCACGGTCAGCATTAAGTGAGATATGACATGTAAAGTGCTCAGAACATTGCCAGCCACGTAGCAAGCACACAACTCATGTGAGCCATTGTTATGAGCCAGCAGTCAATGCTACACATCTGGTGCCTAGGAACAATTTCCACCTCCCACGGAGTCAGAAGACACTCATCACTTCATACAATCATCTCTCTCCTAATCCCCATCTGCTTGGCATTTTAACTGTACCCAGCAGTTCTCTGCCACACAATTCTGTCTCCTCCGCCAGACAGTGAATTACTTAAAAGAGGAAAGGCTCTGACGTCCCCTGGTTCCTCACCACTAGAACTGATCCTGGCACTAAAGAGATCCTCCAGCAATGTGTAATGAATAAATGAATGCTAACTGATTCAGATTTTTAAAGAGTTTTACATTTCAGATGCTTCTAGAAACTGACTCCGTAAGCCATTGTTAAAAAGCATCATAGGAGCATAAGCAAATAGTTGGCTGAAGGAAGAATGGTACCAGCTTCCCATTGTTCGCACCTCCCTGAACATTTCAACACCAGCATGTCCCTCCACCACATACCAAAGACAAAGAGACAAAATCCATCCACTTTGAAATACAATAGTCTAAAGTAAATGCTGGCTAAAACACACACACACACACACACACAAAAAAAAAAAACCTTTTCTTAAATAAAAGTATGCTTCTGAAATCTTACCTTGTCTCATGAAGGCAAGGGCTTTTTCTCTTAAATTATCTGTCAGTTGTCTCTTTTTCATTAGATAATCCAAAACATAAATATTTGGAGCAAAATTTATCATGTTCTGTTCACCACAGCCAGAAGGCATCTGAATCAGTGAGGCTAAGCCACTGATGGATGGACCAAGAATGTCTCCTGCAAGCACAAGACATTCAGTTCATTAGGTAAAGAGGAACTGTTACCTGCTGATGGCAGAGCCGTCCACGGTGTACAGAAGGCGCCTGACACTGGAGCAATATGATCAGTCCACATCTTGGAACAGAGCCTACACTTAACATCAAGCTTTTAGTAAGACTGATTTAAAAAAATAATGTAGTGATACTAAATTTGTAGATTTCATGACAAAGTAAGAGACTTTCTGCTCAGTTAAAAAAGATGTGGCATAAATTAGGCAAAAATAAATAAATTTTTTTAAAAATCTTTTAAAAAATTGACCTTTAAAAGATCATCATTCTTATATAGGAAAAAATATTTCATTTCAATATTCTTACATCCACGGACTGTATTCTTTAATGCACTACAAATACTTGAGAAATGCTATTCGTAAAATAGCAGGGATTGCAGTGTTTCTCAATCTGTTCTATTTAACAAAGTAGAATAAACAAATATAACTATTTCAACAAATCTCAAGATTAAAAAGAATTAGCATTATTCTTCAAAATTAGTAATCTAAAAGTGAACAAAATATGTGCCTCAAAGACTCTTCTGCTCACCTTCTATCAGCATGACTCAAGGAAACTAGTAAAATTTCAGAAATATGGACGCTAAATTCTAATTTTGACCCCACTGTTGTTAAGCTGTAACCTTAAGAGTTAAGACTAACCTTCTATGTAATTTCTTTTGAAAATTGGCAATACAGCGAAGTCCAAATACCTAGTGAAAATCTGATCCTAAAAAACTGAGTACAAAAAAAATAGAGGTAGACCTCTTTCATATGAATTTGCCACAGCCAAGCCAGCATTTTTTAAACTTTAGGTGTTAACACAGAGGAGGAATAAGCAGAAATTATATTATTGTCACTGTAAGTTATACTTTTAACATTCAAAGTGAACATAAACATATACTCATAAAGTTAAAAGAAACAAGCTAATATGCATATATTCATGGTGACCAAATAGGTTTTTTTAAATGACATAGAAAAATAAACTTGAAAATCCATTATTTACATCATGCACAAAAGATCTCAGAGTATTTATATGACCATATATAAGACTCATTCCTGTATAAGGAGTGGCAGTATACACTGAAAATTAAAGGATTCCTCCTTTTGGGTGTATAGCATGTATGTATGTATGAATTACTGCATCCTCCAGCATCCCAACACTGCAAAATTTATTTTCTTGCATCCCAAATTGGAGTGCCAGTTCGAGTCCTGACTGCTCTGCCCTTCTGTTCCAGCTTCCTGCTAATTTACCTGGGAACCACTGGATGATAGTCCAAGTGCTTGCATTTCTGCCACCCAAATAGGAGGCCAAGATACAGTGCAGGCTAGCATCTGAATCAGTAATCTGAGTTAAGCAGATTGCCAAAAAAAAAAATAAAAAAAAGTGTGTGGACATCATCCAATCCATTGACATTTGACATCGGAATAGGAAAAAAGGTGGAGGAAAGAGAAAGTCACCCTTCTTTTCCTGCCTCACGTTTCATCTCATCCCCTTCTCTTGGAGTGGGATTAGCATCACTTGGTTCTCAGGCCTCTGAATTCAGCCTGAATTACACCGCTGGCTTTCCAGGATGTCCAGCTTGTAAATGCAGATCATGAGACTTCTCAGCCTTCATAATGGATGAGTGAATTCTTCATAAACATATACCTAATCTGCAGTCGTTTCTCTGGAGACCCTCACTCATACTTCATCTGTATAAAAGATAGGTTTAATTCACAATGTAACCAGGAGAGGTGACTAAAGTCAGTGGGTAGGTTTGTGTTGTAAAGGTTACTAACATCTTTCACAGAGAACTGCTCTAAGCAGTAGATCTCCCAATCCATGGTTATCAAAATCACTCATAGAACCTTCTCAAGATACAGAAAGTGTCTTCAAAAAGTTCATGGAAATGAGTATTATGGAAAAAAACAATGCATGGATTTCAAAAAGCCTTTTGTACCAAAACAAATCTTTTAATTCTATTTTTCTAGTCCCCGCATACATCCTTAGCCATAGCCTAAGAGAATCTGACTTAGTAGGTTTAGAGCAGAGTCCAGATACTTGTCAAACAAAGCTCCATAGAAGATTCTGATATCCACCAGTGGTCATAAAGCCACAGAAGCCTGAAGCTCTGTGCTTAGAAATACAGAACACAGAGGAGCCTTGCTATTCATGGTGCGGCCTGCAAACCAGAAGTATCACTACCACTTGACAGCTTGTTAGATGTGCAGAATCCCATGCCCCACCCACACTTATTAAAATGAATCTTGTTTTTAAACAAGACCGCAAATGATTCATAGGCACATTGAATTTTGAGAAGAACTGGCCTAGCACATATAATTTACTAGCCTTTCTATTGTAATCAGCAGTTGGGACCAAATAAACTCTTTTGCAATCTCTTCCTAATAGGACTAAATAAGAAAATGTGACTCTAAATAAAAGAACAATATGGGGAAGAGAGGGCTTCAAAAAGTTGGTGGAAATGGAATGGAAAGATATGGCCATGAATATCGTGGAGATCCTCTCATATACACTACAAACAAATAAACCAGTAGGATGAGGCTATATTCTATTCTTACCTACTACATTGATCTGAACTCTTTCACTGCCACTGACTGTGTCAGGAGGAAATGAGAAACTCCAAGTTTTTGTGGTACTTCGCAGTTTTGGGTCAGTCAAGTCCATTAAGATGGATTGTGAATACGATTTTTCTATTCCTTCAGCCTGTTGAAAAAATGGAACACAATTAACATGGTCCTTATTCATCTACTTATAGAGAACTATGTGCAGATATGAAGACAAAACCTCTGGCCTGTTGTGTCTATAGTTTTTGTACAGTTAGGTAAATGCCATTTCTTGATTCTTATTCAAATCTGTTAAGTGATTACTTCCTAGTTAAATCAGACAAAACATTTCATGGAATGGCTGTGGAAACAGAAAAGTTAAAGATGAAAATGAGGGCTGGCCCTGTGGCATAGAGAGTTAGAGCCGCAGCCTGTAACCCTGGCATCCATGTGGGTGCTGGTTTAAGTACTGGCTGCTCCACTTTGGATCACACTGGGATCCCTGCTGATGCACCTGGGAAATCAGTAGAAAATGGCCCAAGTCCTTGGGCCCCTGTACCCACATGAGAGACTGGGAAGAAGTTCCTGGCTCCTGGCTTCAGATCAGCGCAGCTCCAACTGTTGCAGCCAATTGGGGAGTGAACCAGCAGATGGAAGACCCCTCCCTCCCTCCCTCCCTCCCTCTCTCTCTCTCTCTGCCTCTCCTTCTCTGTATAACTCTGACTTCAAATAAATAAATAAATCTATCAAAAAAAACTTACGGAATACAGCAAAGGCAGTGTTAACAGGAAGGTTTTAGCAACTGGTGCCTACATGAAGAAATTGGAAAGTACCAAATAAATGAGTTATCAGGCTGGCGCCATGGCTCACTAGGCTAATCCTCCACCTGTTGCACCGGCACACCGGGTTCTAGTCCTGGTCAGGGCGCCGATTCTGTCCCAGTTGCTCCTCTTCCAGTCTAGCTCTCTACTGTGGCCCGGGAAGGCAGTGGAGGATGGCCCAAGTGCTTGGGCCCTGCACCCGCATGTAGATCGACGCAGCGCCAGCCATGGTGGCCATTTGGGGAGTGAATCAATGGAGGAAAACCTTTCTCTCTGTCTCTCTCTCTCACTGTCTAACTCTGCCTGTTAAAAAAAAATAATAATAAATGAGCTATCAATGCATCTTAAGGACCTAGAAAAACAAAAAAACCAAATCCCATATTACTATGAGGAAAGAAATAATTAAAACTAAAGAAAAATAAAATTGAAATCAAAAAAATGACAAAGCATCAGTGAAATAAAGAGCTGGTTTTTTGAAAAAATTAAAAAAATTTGATGCAACTCTGGTACAAATAACCAAAACCAAAAAATGAGGAAGAAGACTGAAATCAATAAAATCATAGATGAAGAATGAAATGTAACAAAAGACACTACAGAAATAAAAAGAATCATCAGGAATTACTAAAAAGAGCAGTGTACAATAGGAATGCCAAAAAAAAATGGAAAACCTAGAAGAAATGGATAGATTCCTGGAAACATACAATCTACCAAAATGGAGTCATGAAGACACAGAAAACCTAAACAGACCAATAACCAAGACAGAGAAGATTGAACCTTCCCTCTAAAAAAAAAAAAAAAAAAAAAAAAAAAACCCGGGACCGATGGCTTCACTGTTGTATCCTACCAGATACTTAAAAAAGAACTCATTCCAACTGTTCTCAAGCTATTCAAAACAATTGAAAGAGAGGGAATCCTCTCAAAATCCTTTTGTGAAGCCTGCATCACCTTAATACCTAAACCAGAAAAAGATAGAACCTCTATGCTCAATATCCCTGATGAACGTAGATACAAAAATCCTCAATAAAATATTAGCTAATCAAATCTAACAACACATCAGAAAGATCACCCAGACCAAGAAGGACTTATCCCTGGGATGCAGGGATGGTTCAACATTCACACACCAATAAATGTGATACATCACATTAACACACTGAAGAGCAAAAACTATCTGCCCATATGGGATCATATCCCTGGTAGTGCGAATGTAAACTGGTATAGCCTTTGTGGAAGACAATATGAAGATACCTCAGAAGTCTGAATATAGACCTACCACAAGATCCAGCCCTCCCACAACTGGGAATTTACCCAAACTAAAAGAAATCAGTTTATGAAAGAGTTATCTGTAACCCCCACATTCATTGCAGCTCAATTCACAAAAGCTAAGATACAGAATCAACCCAGATGTCCATCAACTGTTTATTGGATAGAGAAATTATGGTATACATTCACTACAGAGTACTACTCAGCTGTAAAAACAAATGCAATCCTGTGTTTTCTAACAACATGAACACAACTGGAAACCATTATGTTTAGTGAAATAAGCCAGGCCCAAAAAGACAGATACAATATATTTTCCATGATCTGAGGTAACTAATAGAGTACCTAAAATGTAACATATTGGAGTAAAACAGACATTTTGAGACTCAATGATTGTTCACAGCCCTTGTCTCTTCTGTTGAGAACAATGGTTTGTTTTTTTTCTTCACACTATTTGTTGAACTCTTTTAGTGTAGGGTTAACTTTACTGTCATTTAGTAAACTGATAGATCTTTGTAAAAATTAAGAGTGGGAATGGGAAAGGGAAGGAGGAGGAAGAAAGGCTGAAAAATAGGTGGAGGGAGGTTAGGGTGGGAAGGATCACTATGTTCCTAAGTCTGTATATACAAAATAAATGAAACTTGTATAACTTAAATAAATTTTTAAAAAAATAAATAAAGCTCTCCTAAGAGTTAAAAATAAAGATGAAAATAAGATGAAAAAAACCTTCTGAGGAAGATCCTATAATTATCCAAACAGACGGATTAAATATATTATCCAAACTTATATTTGACAGGGCTTGAATCTGCCCCAGAAAACAAGTGCTAATCCACTATGCTGAGTAGCTGTTTTGTATGGAATGCCTTCTCTGAAAAAATCATAGAAACTCTTCACCTGAACTGTATTTTTCACTTTATGTTTCTGTGTGGGAGCAAACTGTTGAAATCTTTACTTAATGTATGCTAAACTGATCTTCGGTATATAAAGAGAAACGAAAATGAATCTTGATGTGAATGGAAGGGGAGAGGGAGTGGGAAAGGGGAGGGTTGCAGGTGGGAGGGACGTTATGGGGGGGAAGCCATTGTAATCCGTAAGCTGTACTTTGGAAATTTATATTCATTAAATAAAAGTTTAAAAAAAAAGGAATTCTAAATTTCTAGAACCTTATGTCAACTTCAGCATGTCTTACCATGGTCCCATTGTGGCACAGTTTGTAGATGTAAATGACTATGACAAAGACTTTATAAGGGAACCTTTGCACACTAAGTGGAAATGTAAAGTTGTACAGCCATTGTGATGAAAACATACAGAATTTCTTCAAAAAAGTCAAAATAGAACTACCATATAATCCAGTAGTCCTACTACTGGGTATATATCCAAAGGAAATGAAATCGGTCTGTCAACAAGACATCCGCACTCTCATGTTTACTGCAGCACTATCCACAAGAGGCCAAGAAATGTAAACTATCTAAGTGTCCATCCACTGGTGCATGGATAAAGAAAATGAGGTACATATACACAATTATATGCTTTTGAGCCATAAAAAAGATGAAATCTTGACAATCTTGATAGCACAGATAGAACTGAATAAATAGTCTGAATAAATAGTAATGTTAAGTAAAATAAGTCAAGCACAGAAAGACAGTATGTGATCTCAGTCATATATAGAGTGTAAAAAACAGGTGATCTCATAGCATTTAGAGTATAATGGTGGTTATCAGAGGTTGGGGAGTGAGAGAGTGGGGAAAGGTTATTGATGGGCACTAGGTTATAGCTAGACAGGAGTGAGAAGTTCTGGGACTCTACTGTCCACTGGATAACTATATATAATGGTAGTATACTGTATATTTTTCTACTTAAAAAAAAACAGAAGGTAGGATTTTAAATGTTTTTACCATAAAGAAATGTTAAGTGTTTGAGGAGATATGTTTACTCTGATTGGGCATTACAATGTATGCATATATTTAAACATCATATGGTACCTCATTAATATGTAGTTTTTATATGTCCTTTAGAAGAAAAAAAAAACTTTCAAGTAGTGGAAGTAGTGACAATGGCAGTGGAAGTGGCAGCTACAGCCAGGATGTGAGCAGAGTGACGCCCATGTGGGAGGCAGCCACACTCCTGGGGAAACTGTTGAGCACAACTGCTATGCTGAAAGGTGGTTCTGTACCTGCTCTGCTTGTGCTTAGCAATAGCCTGGAAATCCAGCAGGACCAGTCACTTGGAGTTAATCCACAATCCCCACAAAAATGGGATAAAGGCAAAGTATTTGAAGTGATGTTGTCTACAGAGCACTTCCACCACAGAAACTGTAACCTTTATATGAAGTCTCTACCATCAACAGATTTCCAAGCAACAATCAGTGTTCCACACAATCACATATAGTCACGAGAACTTCTATTTGATCAATGATATGAAGGATCTAGAAGCGGAAGTACTACATCCAACCATATGGGCAAAGCTTTCAGTAAGCCATAGGAATTGATCATATTAAAGAGTTAGTAGATGATTCCCTAAATAATGTCAGAAAGTACAATCCAATGCTTTGGTTTTCAGAGTGCATTTGGTTATGGGGGATGGAATAATGGAGTATGCTACAGAAGCCCCATATGACACTATTCACTTAGGAGCTACAGTCACCATTGTGTCCCAAACACTAACAGACCAGATAAAGCCTGGTGGAAGCCTGTGACATTGCTGATCAGTCTTTAAGGTGGGAGCCAAATTTGGAGCAGTATGACAGGACACAAGACAGCAGCATCAAAATGACACCTCTGAAGGGAGTAATATATGTACCTCTAACAGATTTTTAAAAAGCAGTAGTCCATGTGGATGTTACCCTATCTTCTGCTCTTTCTTCTTCCACACGTGCAAAGGATAAACTGTAAGCATCAGCTTGACCAGCCTGTAATAATCCAGTGGATTTCTCATCTCAGTCCTCAAAGCTTTATGAAAACCAGCAGCATCACAGCTTGCTTTAGACTGTTACACGATTATTTTCAACATGAAAGTACATGATTTTGCAGGGTTTTCTAATTATTCAAGTAGACACCCAGCCCAGTTGCTAGAGGAAGGTTGTAAAGTAGAAATGCAGGTGTATTTCTTTCACAGTCTCACATTTTACTTTAAAGTCTTAAAAGAAGGGTTCTGCAAAATGGAAAATTTAATTTGCAAACTTATTTTGAGAAATGGTTTTCCTTTTCTTAGATACTTCATTCTATTCTGGTATTAATTTATCAGATCACTTTTGTAATTGGGTGACACTACCACTCACAACTTAAGATGCGTGGTATTTAGATATACATGAGATATTACTTAGAAAACAGAGAGGAGAGATCTGGCACCGTGGTGCGGTGGTTAAGCCACTGTTTTTGATGCAAGCATCCCATATGGGCACCAGTTTGAGTCCTGGTTGCTCCACTTCCAATCCAAGTCCCTGTTAATGTGCCTGAGAAAGCAGCAGAACATGGCCCAAGTACTTGGGCCCCACCACCCATGTGGGAAACCTAGATGGAGGTCCAGGCCTCTGGCTTTGGCCTGGCCCAGCCCTGGCTAAACCAGCAGATGGAAGATCTCCATCCCTACCTCCTTTCAATAAAACTCTGGCTTTCAAATAAAATAAGTAAATCTTAAAAAAAAAAAAAAAAGGAAGGAAGAAAAAGAAATGAACTCTCTTTTTAAAGCTTTGAAGTACTGTCATAGAATAGCTTGTTACAGATACAGTAAGCTGCTTTGTTACCCTTTTAAAACCAGGCATTTGTAAATACTGAAACTTAAGATGCCAAATTATGTCCTATAAACAATCAGCTGCTCAGACTGGACACCACTGTCATAGTTCTTTCTTCTTCTCTCTACATGTGATAGGAGATTTGTAGCTTAGTGTTGGCATTACTATTTCTGGGCTGGGCAGATGCTGGGAGCCAGTAATGCAATCAAGGCCTCCCATGTGGATGGCAGGAAGCTGGAGTTGGGAACCCGAGACAGAACTTGAACCCAGGCCCTCCCATGCGGGACACTGACATCTTACCAATAGACTAAGTTCTCTTTATTGGCTTTTCTATTTCTAATTGGCTCCTGACAAGGTATACGAATCTAACATGTTGTGTAAGCTGCTTCCTAGGTACTGCACAGCTTAGGAAGTGCTGTTTTGTCAAAGTTCAGAGTTAAGAAGGTATAAATGTTTTAATTTTAAAAGAGTCTTTGGGGCCCGCATTGTGGCATAGCAGGTAAAGCTGCTGCCTGCGATGCCAGCATCTCATATGGGCACCAGTTCGAGTCCCAGCTGCTCCACTTCCAAAGCAGTCCTTGTTGATGTACCTGGGAAAACAGCGAAGGATGAGCCAAGCCCTTGGGTCCTTGCACCCACATGAGAAACCCTGCAGAAGCTCCTGGCTGCTGGCTTCTGGCTGGCCCAACCCTGGCCATTGTGGCCATCTGGTAGGTGAAGCAGCTGATGGAAGATATCTCTCTCTTGCTTCTGTGTGTGTGTATGTATGTACGTGTGTGTGTGTTCCTCTCTCTGTGATGCTCTGCCTTTCAAACAAATAAAAGCAAAATCTTTATTTAAAAAAGTCTTTATAGTCATACTCATGATTAGATTTTAAAAAGAAAATTGGCAATTATTTCTAAGACATTATGTGATACATTTTTATGTATAGATGAGAAAACCATCAGGCATTACCAGTGTCTGAAGAAGACAACCTACCAGGATGGCCAACAACTTTTACCAAGAGAAAAAGCCATCTTCTACTTCTTTTTCATTTATGTATTTACATAAATACATAAATCAAATACGTTATTTATTTAAGACTCCCAATATTTACCTTTACCAAAATCCTCTGGGTGATGGCATCGGAAGCACTGGGTGAAACAGCTATTACTGTGATAGGAATTTCTCCCAGCTGTGTTGGCCTGACAGGGAAAACAACAGTCGCCCCATCCTCACTGGGGACCAAAATGGTTTGCTGGTGTCCCGTGGCATTTATTTCACTTGAAGTCATTAGAATATCAAATTTGTCACTTTTCTCAATTATTACCTTAACCTGGAAGAAAAAAAAACACCAAGATTTTGTATGATAACTGCTCTTCAGGGAAGATATTTTTATCATCACTTTAAGTAGTATTAAGTCTGTGAGGTTTAAGACTAGAGAAAAATTAGATTCAGCCTGAGAGAGGATGAAGGCTATCAGAAAAGACTTCAGATCTTGTCTATACTTCTCTTCTCCACTGCACCATATCTGGAGAAAGGACACCTTCAGCCCCATTTCTAGTCTGCCCACTAACAAACGCAGTATGGGAAGCCACTGGGTGCTAAGACTGTGCACAGAAAAGCTGTTCCACATATTGGTATCACTATCAGAGCCTGATTCAATTTTGTCACCCTAGGAGACGCCGGTGCCATTAGAAATAATGAGAGCAATACGTGTGAGAATCCCTGCAAAAACTATTTCAAGGAAAGCACAAGTCAGTCCTGAAGCGTATCTTGCTTGTAAACCCTGGTGAAGCTGTCAGTCTCACCAAGAACAGCATTAGATTTACATTTTATTAACCATATTCCCGCTTCTTGTGTGCTTCTAAAATAGTTTTGTAAAAGTAATAATGATAATTCTCATTGCATAGATGAGGAAACTACCATTAAATTCTATTTACTGCTAAGCAGTGGGCCAGACATGGAAAGTGGGCCTTCTGACTTCAGATCTTTCGCTCACAATACTGTATCACATTGAGTGGATTAAAAAGTAAAATTTTAAAATAAAAATAGATATAGTGCTTAGAGAGATTATTGCATTTTCATGCAATAAGGTTAATTCCATATCCCCACTCATTTTGGGGCGGGGGCAATATCAATCCCATAGTCTGCACTACTAACAGCACAACATAAACAGTGGGCCTAATCCCTATCCTCCAGGGCACTGACTAGCTAGGCAAACACAAGACACAAGAGCCAAGAAATAAACCCTTGAAAATACAAGGCACTGCATCAACACGGAGACTACAAGCACAACAGAATGGGTGAGAGTCCTCAGGAAAGGCATTTTAGACTCAAGGCAGGTCCTGAAGGGGTTATTCATGCCAATTGCCACAGGCATGGAACGGCAATGAGCAGTGGCACACATTTCAGGGAGACCAGGGGAAAATGCACAGAGGCAAGAGAAAGGAATGCCTCAGGCACAATAGGAAATGAAAGGGCTACTGTGTTGAGGGTTAAGAAGAGAAAGTGTATAGACATTAATTAAGCAGAAGAAATCACTGACAAAGATAATTTATGTTCAATTGCCCAGCAATATACACGAATAAAAGGCTGAGAAGCCCAAATGCCCAAACATTACCCAAGCCAATCCCTGTATGACTTTTCCAATCTCTCATGACGTATAAATGATCAACAAAACCTTGAATATATTACCTCAATAGCATCTTTCAAATAACTGAATATGGTTACTTCCAAAGCAAATTCTTCACCTCTGATAAGAGAGTAGGGAAGATTCAAAAAAATGAAAAATGGCTGGAAGGCTTGTAGCTGGAAAAAACATAATGAGTACATATTTTTACTCACATCAGAAGTATTCACATCTTATCCAACTAAATGCAACCTTTACAAAACCTGTGACACTTATAGCTTCACCTAGAAATGCCCAGTTGCTATTAGCCAAGAGGAAATAGCATCTTATCCCAAGTGAATGTTGGCAAAATTATTTATGTTATTAAAACAATAATCACTACATCTTATTAAGAGCCTACTAGGAATCAAGCACATCATAAATTATTTCACATAAGCATTATAATTCTATAAGAATATTACACTCTGATTTTATACAGAAGAAAACAAAGTTCAGAAACCTCCATAACTAGGACAAGATCATTTTGCTGGCAAGTGGAAGAGTCGAGACTGGATCCCAGCCTGTCTGATGCCAAAGCAAGATGTCCTTCTATTATGCTGATATTGACTCAATCAATCTGTTTTAAAAGCCACTGGACAAGCCAAACAGCCTGTTTTATTCCAGTGTGAGAAATCTCGGTGTGGCAGGCCCAGTGATGTTCTGCTTACTCCGTTTGACAAGTACACATGTGCTTTCTCTTTGCTGATGCAACACTAAGAGTGTTAGCCAACTCCTACAGGGACAGTGAGCCCTTCCCTTCTTTCTGAAGCCAAACCTTGGTTAGTTAAAACTGATGCTTCCACTGGACGCTGTAGTTCCCTCTAAACACCTCTACAGGGTTTCTTAGATTGTCACCGATTGGAGAGTACTATTAGCACTTCATAGGCAAAGGTCTAGAATGCTCAGGGCAGTCTCAGACAATGAAGACTTGTCTCATGTTCCTAATCATTCTTGAGTATTTCTTCAGACATTCATGTAGATAAAGTAATGCTTATAATGTGCTGAGGTTCCAATCTAATTCTAATTCTTATATCACCAAAGCATTTTTCAATACACACTGTATTTTCCATGAACACATGTACATTATAAACTGAGAGAAGACTGTGCCTTGATTTGTTTCTAACTGTACCAAAAGTTGTTCACCATTTCATAGAGTTACATCACCACAAGCAGTACCACTCAGGATTTTTAGGTTGCTGAAATAACACATTTATCATACTGAATCTATGGTTGTTACACGCAGGGAGATTCTAAGTGTGGTACAAACATCTCAGTATGTCACCCTGCCTTCAAGTTCAAGTCACTTACATAATGAAGTACATATTTTATTACGTACTACTTTCCTTTTATTTCTCCTTAGTATTTCACTTAGGGCATCAGATTGATGTTTTGCAAAGTTGTATGTGTAAGTTATATTTTCTCTGAATTTCATTTTGAGATGGTAAAGAGGAAACACAAAAGATCTGTTATGAAAAGGGGACTTTAGATGGAATGGGTGAGAGCCACTACTCTAAGGCCACTCATGGTCATTGTATTCCTCTTGCCAGAGACAAGTTTAGAAAACAATGTGTGATGCAATTTGACCAAAGAGATGTGAAGGAATTTCTGCTATGGGACATCTTGAGAAGTTCTGCTCATCTTTGAAGAGGGACACATGGAATTGCCTTTGTAAGTGGTTAGATCCAGTCAATAATAAACTTTTCTATCCAAATCTTAATATGGACCTAGTATATTTAATATAGCTTTTATTCTAAAATATAAAACACAAGAAAAGGAAACAAAGCCAAGGAATCCCCAAACTGTGATAAATAGCATAAGCAACAATTTTTAAAAGTCTATTAAGTAGCTGATACTTTCTTAACTTTGTGCACTATACCATTGATAAACAGCCCTTTAATATATTACCTCCACTGGAGCAGTTGTTAGTCCAAGACCTAAGTCTTCAGAGATGACAAAGGCATTTGCAACCCAAGAAGTGATGGAATCAGGTACAGTCACTTCAAATTCTTGGTCAGTCTTGGATCTGGAGCCAATATAAACATTTAAAAAAATCACAAAACCAAGAACAGACATTTTAAAATAAGTCAACATAGCCAAACTACTTTTAGAAGAATTTTATTTTTCTGTATCAATTATAGACCTAAATTTAAAATCATTTAAAAGATTTAAGCAAAAACAATAGATCCCAAGTTCTCAAAGAATAGCTCCCAACAAAATAATACTGTACATCACTGTATATTTTAATAAAATTTTTGGTCATTTATGTGTCATATCTTCAGAGTATCTTCAGAATAAACATTATTTTTCATTAATTTTGTACAGAGAATAAATGCAGAAGTTCAACTGTAACTACAGTGTTTTCCTCTCAATTTACAGAAATGCTTGCTCTCTGTATCCCTGCCAGTTGTGTGACTGATTTGTTGGGACTTTTTTCTAATTATATTTGACTCATGTCTTCTTTCAGGTATCTTAAATGGCTGACTATAAAATACTGTGTAGATTTTATGCTTTATCTGCTTGCTTATCAGGTAGTACGCAGTTTGCCAGCTAAGCTGAATTCCTTCCACCACACACATGCCCTCTCCCTGTGACTCACAGGGGATGTTTTATGAGGAGAAGGGTTCAGCTGGCAGCACTGCCAGAGGTCCAGGAGGGATTCTCACCCCTGCCAACAAATGTAGAACCAGAAATCCTCCTCCAGTGAGAACGATGAGATTCATTTAAGTTAAAATCACCCTTAATTTAAAATGGATCTCTCTTCTTGATATTCTCCCAATAAACCATGTGGCTTTATTAAATATCATATATAAATCCCATAAACATCATCCTAATCCAAAAACCTCTTTGTCTACCCAGTCTTAATTACACTACATTTGTACTTAAATATTAGAGGGCAAAACTTATTTAAAACAAGCACAAAATATATATGGACAAAGAACTTCATAAATTTTTACCCCATATGGGTGTCTATCCAAATCCAAGTCTCTGGAAAATGCTTTCTGACATGTGGGTAATCAACGGAAGAAAAGTCGTGAATGTCTACCATGTTCCCATCATTTTCCTCCACAAACCTCTCAGCATACTCCAAAGTATCATCTAAAAATAAACATTGACAATAGGTAGGCAAGCAGTCACTGGAGAGAATGAATTATAAGCTTGGTGCACACAATCGTAGCTCCTCAGCTGAGTTTGTCTTGTTCAAGCCTCTCATTATATAGATGAGAAACCTAAGAGAAGTCAGGGAGTTGACTCAAAACCACATGGACAGTGACATCCGGGCCAGAACTAAAAACAAACAAAAAAATTCCCTGAAAAACTACTTACAAATTGTTTAAAAATTTTTAAATTTGTATTTCTTAAGTTAAATCACATTCTTAGAGCCACCTGTAATTTTTCTCCCCTCCTCTTGCTGTCTCCCTAGTACTGATTATCATTGACTATACCACTCATAACATGCTTCAATCATTTGTTTACTGGATATCAAAATTAAAAAGTTACATTGTCATACAGATGTTGGATCATCTTTTTTCACAATTTCTGTAAATCTAAAATTATTTCAAAATAAAATGTGAAGAAAATTACACTGTAGTAAGTACCAAGGTACAAAAAGGAAGGCAATGAACTCCATTCATAGACAATGGAGAAAAGAAACAAATAAAAACCTGTAATAAACATAAGTAGGGGAATAACAGACACATGGAAAAGGTCTACCATACAGAAAACGGTAGATTTTACATGGAACCCATATATTGAAAGAGTAAGACTAGAGACCCGGTGAGCAAGGTAACGGGGAGATGCAGAAAAGCTGTTTATGTAGAGAATGCTGGGAGTGGCTGGTAAACCAGAGTGGCTCCAGAGATGCAGGTGGAAGCAGACAGAGGTATGGATTAGGAACCAGCAGTGCATCATGTGTCAGACTCAGATGTAAGAAATCTTAAAGGTGTGTCCAAAGGAAGACATGAACACAAGCCTTTTGGGGCATGATCTCAGGGAGGCAATGCCCAGGATCTGGTTTGAGGCACTAAGAAGGGTACAACATCAGTTTGAATGAAAAGAGCAACAAGAACTCCTTGCTTGAAGCAAGAATAAAATATCAAATTTATGGAAGTCTGTATGGAAGAATGGTGGAATCATTGATGCTTTTCAAAAAGTTTGTGGGAACAATGTCCCAACGAAATCAGCAGCTTACAAATGAAAACTCAGTTTAAGAAGAGATGGAGAATGCAGAAGATGAATCCCACAGTGGCAGACCTTCCACAGCAACTTGTAAGGAAAGAAATTAATCTTGTTCATACCCTAATAGAAAAGAATCAACAATTAACAGCAGAAACAACAGCTAAAAGCATAAACACCTCAAAGGATTCAGCTTATATAATTCTGAAAAACTGAAGTTGAGCAAGTTTACCTTACTCATAGTGGGTATCACAACAGCTGTACACAAGAGTATTCTTTTTTTTTTAATGAATGTAGGCTATTTTTTTTATTTGACAGATAGAGTTAGACAGTGAGAGGGAGAGCGAGACAGAGAGAAAGGTCTTCCTTCCGTTGGTTCACCCCCCAAATGGCCACCACGGCCGGAGCTATGCCAATCCGAAGCCAGGAGCCAGGTGCTTCTTCCCGGTCTCCCATGAGGGTACAGGTGCCCAATCACCTGGGCCATCCTCCACTGCCTTCCCGGGACACAGCAGAGAGCTGGAATGGAAGAGGAGCAGCCAGGACTAGAACCGGTGCTCATACGGGATGCCAGCGCCACAGGCAGAGGATTAACCAAGTGAGCCATGGCGCCGGCCCATGAGTAGAGTTTTCAATAGGAATTTGAAACAAGTGGGACCAAGATCTTGAAGCATTTCTTTGAATTGTAATAGGAGATGAAACATGGCTTTTCTAGTATGATCCTGAAGGTAAAGTGCAATCAAAGCAATGGCCTCCAAGGATGGAAGCGGTCCAGTTACAGCAAAAGTGGACTGGGTGAGGGAAAGAGTCATGACAACCACTTTTTGGGAGGCACAAGGTATTTTGTATGTGGACTTTCTGGAGGGCCAAAGAACTGTAACAACTCGTTAGGAGCGTTTTTGAGAAAGTTAGCCAGAACTTTAACAGAAAAACACCAGGAAAGCTTCAGAAGAGTCACTGTGCACCATGACAATGCCCCTGCTCATTCCTCTCATCAACACAATCTGCAAGAGTTTCAACGGAAACCCGGAGGCGGCTGCCTTACAGTCATGATTTGGCTCTTTCCTTTTTCTTTCTTAATCTTAAAGAGATCTCTAAAGGGCATCCATTTTTTCCTTCAATTGAAATGAACAAGACAGCACTGACACAGTGAAATTTCCAGGACCCTCAGGTATTTAGGGGTGAAGTTAAATGGCTGATACCACTGCTTACCAAAGCGTCCTGAGGGGCCGGCACTGTGGCGCAGTGGGTTAACGCCCTGGCCTGAAGCGCCGGCATCCCATAAGGGTCCTGGTTTGAGTCCCAGCTGCTCCTCTTCCAATCCAGCTCTCTGCTATGGCCTGGGAAAGCAGTAGAGGATGGCCCAAGTCCTTGGGCCCCTGCACCCATGTGGGAGACCTGGAAGAAGCTCCTGGCTCCTGGCTTCAGATCAGCACAGCTCCGGCTGTTGCGGCCGACTGGGGAGTGAACCATCAGATGGAAGACCTCTCTCTCTGCCTCTCCTCTCTGTGTGTAATTCTGACTTTAAAATAAAATAAATAAATCTTTAAAAAAAAATAGTGTCCTGAACTTGATGGCTCTTATGTAGATAACACTTTACACTTTTTGGTTTTTGTTTTTGTTTTTTTAAGGGTATGCCTAGGTAAAAATCCATTCTGTGTTATATTCTTTGCATTCCATTTTCCTTTAGTTTCCAAATAAAGAACATCTCATACAGAAAAAGGAAGTGAGCCAAATGCAAAGGTATGTCCAAAATATGACAGTGAGTGTTAGGTAAAACTGGCATAAAATGAGAAGAGAAAAAATAGTTGGGTCCAGATTTTAAAATATCAAGTAAAATGCTGAAGGATTTGGACTTAATCCTTTAAACAATGATGATTCACTGAAAATGTTAAAATAAACTAAAAACATGATTTAGCTCATGTTGTATACATATAACTCTGACAACATCATGAACAATGGCTTGGAGCTAGGGCAAGATGGAGGCTGACAAAACAATGAGTTAGGAGGTTATTGCATTGGTCAAGGAGATACTGCTGAGGGTCTGAAGCCAATCAGAGGCGAGGAGAGAAGGGTCTCAAGCAATTTTGCTCCTCCTCTTGGCTGAATGTCCTCAGTGTGCACCTATGGCATGCTTTCCTTTCCCTACCACAGCCCTTAGCACACTCCTCTATGTATATCTTGGTCTGGCCACTAGACCAAGCTGGAATCCCCATTGCCCCAAACAGGCAACTAACATCATACTGCCTATTCAATAATGAATGAACAAATTGTATCTGAAAGATAACAAGAAAATGGCACTCATAATGATCCAATATATATCAAGACCTTTGAGCTGCTGAAATATGTGTATGTAAGACTGCATTTGTATAAATCAATGGTGAAGAATGTTATTCTACTACAGTTTTAATGAACTGTGATTATTTTAAAATTTACTGTACATGGGTGAAATGGTCATATTTGCATTTGTTTACAGCTCTTGCTTATATTCCTGCTGAACTAAGGTATTTTTACTTTCTACTAGTTGATCCCTTTATTTACTGGAGCATTAAGCCCTTGACTGTAATGTTAATTAAAAATATATTTTCTCAAAAACTAAAAATGAGGGAAGGAGGGAAGGGAGGGAAGGAGAAAGGAGAGAGGGAAAAGAGGATGAGAAGCAAGAAGAAAATACCAGTATATTCTTAGGGTTCTATGAACTATATTTTATTTTTTTTTGGTATTAATATTACATTAACATAAAAATAAAAGAAAATAATTTTTTACAAAACACATTTATACCTACTACATGCACTATGATTTTTTTTTTTTTACAGCCAGAGTGGACAGTGAGAGAGAGAGACAGAGATAAAGGTTTTCCTTTTGCCGTTGGTTCACCCTCAAATGGCCGCCGCAGCTGACAAGCTGCGGCCAGTGCACCGCGCTGATCCAAAGGCAATAGCCAGGTGCTTCTCCTGGTTGCCCATGGGGTGCAGGGCCCAAGCACTTGGGCCATCCGCCACTGCCTTCCCAGGCCACAGCAGAGAGCTAGCCTGGAAGAGGGGCAACCGGGACAGAATCCGGCGCCCCGACCGGGACTAGAACCCGGTGTGCCGGCGCCGCAAGGCGGAGGATTAGCCTAGTGAGCCGCGGCACCGGCGCAGTATCATTTTTTACATTTGCATTTTACCTCCTAACAACCCTAAGAAACAAGTAATATTACCAACTCTATATGTTAAGAGAAAATCAGAGGCTTAGAGAGGTTACTTAAGTTATAAGGTCAGAATTGAAAGCAAGGGGTATTTGATAGCCTCTGTGCTGTTCCACCTCAGAGAGAAAGAAAGGAAGTAATCAAGGATGAGTCCTGGGTTTCTGATTTGGATATCTAGGAATGTAACAATTTTATAAAAGAGATATGAAAATATCAATTCAAGGAATCAGCTCAATTAAATCATATCAAGAAAGGGAAGATCAAGGCTGTGAGGCAAGAGAAGCCCACAAAGCTGGTTTGTGTTATACTGAATTTAAGATATCTGCATGGTCTCAGAGTACAGAAACAGAAGAGTAAGATTAATGGTTGAATTGTCCTGAGTTGAGTTTAGTGAAGGAGATTTGACAGAGTAAGCAACTGGGAAGAAAATCCACCAAATCCATTAACCTGTAGTCCAGGCCAAGTGTTGTAGAGGAGTAAAGGCAGACTAAATGAATAGCACAGAATAACCAGAAGTCAGGGAACTGAAAAATCTTAGTTAGAACAAAGAACATGCCTAATAGATTTGGGAAGTGGGGACTATAGAAGGTAGCAGGACAGGCATGTGAGATGTTAGGAGCACAGTGCAGTTGGTAACATGGCCTTGGATCCCATTATTGCAACTGTGGCGATCACAGGATAGTGCAGGTTCAACTGAGGTTCAAACCCACCCCACCCCACCCACAGGATAACA